AATAAAGCTCTGACGATTTGAAAAAAATCTCTATTATTTAATAATTCTATTTATTTAAACTGTTTAAAAAATTTCTCTATGAACACACACACATACGAATATAATAAATATATATATATACATATATATATTCATTTATCATTTTGATTCTTTCTGTTTAGTTTCATTTGCAATTTTATTTTCGGTCGAACTTGTTAATAAATATTTTTCATTCTAACTTAAACTTTCTTCTCCTTCAAATTATCTCTTAAAATCTTTCTATTATCTATCATAACATAACTGGTCGATTTAAATTTGCTCCTTATTTATTTATCCTGAACGTAACACATAGAGTTCATATTTCACTATCAAGAATGTACAAAAATTTTCAAATACGTTCACTTTTCCAATTTTTTTATCAGGAAGATAATCATGGAGCTTTGGTTTTTTTTTTTTTAAATTATGATAAATACCTTTGTTTAAACTGTTTCCAAGATGTTTTAAATCTTAAAAAATGTTTTAAATATATATAAATTCATTTCATTTCTAAGGAGAATCTTCGCGTGATTCTGTTTTACGTATGAAAAAAACACACACACACATCCATATATATATTATTTATTTAAATTTCATTTTTAAATAAAATTCTCAAATATCTTATCTAAGAAAAGAATATAGTTTTATATTTATTTATATAAATATATATATATATATATATATCATCATCTTATTTAACTCAAATTTAAAGCCTTTATATATAAATCCGAAATCGATATAGTAATTTTTTATTGAAAAAGAGTAAATTGTGGCATTGTTAAAAATGTTTGAAGAGACATTTAGGGAAAAAATAGTCAATATATATATATATATATATATATCAAAAAAAAGCAAAACCAAACCAAATATTTTAATATAAACCTTATCTATTTTATAAAATGTCAAACTCAGATTTTTTTTTTTTTGTATTCATGATGCCATCTCAGTTTATGCTTTAAGTTTTTTAATTTCACTGTTTAATTATCTAATTTTGATAACAAAGAAATGTTTTTGTATCCATAAAAATACGGACATAAAAAAATAAGCTCTTTTGAAACATTTATATATATATATATATATATATATAAATATATATATATATATATATGAAAGTTAGGAAGATGATGTGGAGGAGGGGAGTTCATCAATAAAACGAAAATTTATGCAGATAATCGATAGAAAAAATAGGAAAAGGTTTTGCCATATGGACAGACATTATGGAATATTGAAAGAAATATATATATATAATATATATATATTTATATATATATATAAAAGTATAGCAAATTTGCATTGCGTAAAAATATGAGAAGAAAGGAAAATTTGAATAATTTATTCATTTTTTATCATCTGCAAACTTTTTCCTTCACAAACTTATTTTCGAAAAATGTTCCATTGAAAAAAAACTCTTTAATTTTTATTCAATTTGACAACATAAAATGAAATTTTATTGTTTTTTTAACTAGTGTTTCATTTATTGACAAATTTTGCGTATTAGAAAACATTAAAAAAAGCATTAATCAACAAAGCTTCTTTAGGGAAATTAATTTTAACCATTTTTTTTTTCCTATTGCCAACGATTTATTTGAATGAGATGTAGATTTATATTCCTCAAGAGGTTTATATTTTTTTTTTTTCCGGCAACAGGAATCACTATGTAATGGGTGTTGATAATAAACAAGTGTTAAAATTAATGATTAACAAACATAAGTTCAAAATATTGAACAATAAATATATATATAAAAATATTTTAGTTATAGCTGATAGTTGGGACACAATCGATATCTGCCGGTGAGCGCATATTTTGTGTTTTTACAACCTTTCTCGAATAACGTCTGAATAAAATAAACGGAAAAAATTGTTTAAAAAACGGAGAATTTTCAATTGGACCATGTCCTTTTATACAAAAATCTTTCTAATTTTTTTAATATGCCTTATATATATATATATATATATATATATATATATAAAAAATATAATTCCATCAAATTTTTTATTCCATATTCAAACTGGTTACTTAATTAATCATACTAATCCCATTGAAAGGTTTGTGGATATGTGTCAGCTCTAATTAATTTGTGTTTATCCGACACTGCTTTAGAAATTCCCAATAATATTTTTTCCAAATTTGATTTTTAAAAATTTTTCATTTTCTGGGAAGTGAAAATTATTTTAGTATCATTAACAGTCGGAACAAACAATTAAAAAACTAAAATTGTTTTTGTTCACGATGGACTTGTTCAATTTGAATACACGATTATTGTAAAACACTATCCAAAGTTTTGGGGACAAGATATATGGAGAAAACATTTTTAATTAAATTTCCAGGTTAATATCATAATGTAAATGATCACGTTTATATATGGGATCGGATTTAATTTAAAATTTCAATAAGGCTTCAATTTTTTTTTCTTCAGGTATATTTATATATTATATTATATATATATATATATATATTTTTAATCAGAATGAGTTTAAAATTTCATTTACAAGACAAACAATATAATTAAAATTGTATTCAATCGTGACGTGAAAAAAAATTCGTATGTTTTGTTTGAGTTTATTGTTTTAGAAATTCGGTAAAAAAAAAAAAAAATTGAAATAAAAATTTAATTAAAATATAAATATAAATAAAATATAAAAAAATAATCTTTTAAACAAAATTTTTGTAATTTATAAGAAAATTATAAAATATTGATAAAAAATGCCATTAACATGAGAAAAACAATCATAAATGTCTTATCAATATGATGTATGTTAAGATAAAATAAATGGTTTTAATTAAGTATTGAAAACATATATTTTTTTTAATAAATTTAAAGTTTTTAAATCTAGATATTGAAATTTGGATTTTAAAATCCCAGACTTTTTAAAACATTAAATTTTATCATATAATTTTTTAATTATTGGTAGTATAAATTATTTTTTTATGAAATTATTTTAAATGCTCTCTGAATAGCTATTATAACATGATTTCGTTGTCTTAAATTTCCTTTTGAATCTTATATACTTATTTTTGATTGGTTATTCTATATTTTTTAAAAATGTTTCCCTATTCAAAGGTTCGTTAATTAATCTGAACATTTTTAAAACCATTTATTTTATCATTCAATATCATCACTTGATAAGACACTAGAGTGTTGAAACAAAATGGCTATTTTTGTAGTGATTTTATAACATATTTATGTTATAAATTTTAAATAAATAATAATTATATCTGCTCTACTTTGTATTGAGCACTTTTTTTAAGAATAGTAATTCATTGGTTATTATAACTTTCATTCCGTATTTACCAATCTATATCTCTTTATATATTCGCTCGCAATGCACTCATATAGAAACCGATCTGCAAAGAGAGTTGTAGGGCTGAATACGCACTGCGCACAAATCTTAAAAGAATTTGCAGAAAACTGAAGAGAATCCATGATGGTCGAATCAACACACACGTGAAGTATCACAAAGATTGAGTGGGTTCAGTCGCGGAAAAATTAGTGGAAAAAAAATAAGAACGATTCGTCGTTATGCAATTTTTATGAATGTTTCTTCATTTCTTACTTTTAATTTGAAACAAGTGTCAGTGAATTTATCTTACTACCTTTGGAAAGTAATGTCACATTTTTGAGAACGGAATAAAAACATCCCTTTGAAATGAAATAAAAGTGACATTTATTCCCTAAGGACCGAATCATAATTGTCAAGGATAAATTTCTAATATGAAATTAATGCTTTTATTCAGTCGTAAAAAAACGTGATTCTGGACCAAAAAAAAATCTGTTAGGTTAATCTCGATGGCAAAAACATTTAAAGACAATCAAGAGATGCAATCTGCATTAGTGAGAAATCTTTTTTCAAAAGAATAAAAGAATATGATTCATCATCAACTCTTATCACTGCTAAAAATAATGATTAAAACATTTACCATTATTTTTATATTTAAATTAATTTCCCGGTTATTTTTATTTTGTTTTTTTGTGCTAGTATTTCTTTGACCGTAATGTTATATGAAATGTTGCTTCTTGGATATTTTTTTTTTTTAATTTATGCTCGGTTCTATTTCTGGTCGAAGGCTAATTGAAGTAGACATGGATATTTGTCAAAATTTAAAGGCTGATCAGTTTCATCTAAATAAAATTAAATTGTTTTATTTATATTTCTTAAGAGGAAAATAAAGACACTGAAAAATTAATGATAGCTGATAATAAATTTCCATTTCTTACATCAAGTAATTAAATATTTGTCGCGATTTGACGAATTTCATTCTAAAAATATACGACCACAATTTCCGAACATGACGCTCGTTACCTGTCTATATTTCTGAAATGAGGTATTGTAACTATTTTATACTTGCTATATATATATATATATATATATAAAATTCTATTTCTTATTCATTCGTTAAACGTTTTGTTTTTCCTCCTCTTCTGTTGTCGGATGTCGGATGAATAGTTTGCCAAGTCACTGCCTATAGGGTTATGTAAAAATATTTTTATTCTTGTAACCATCCAATTTTCTGCAGTGCCGATGGCTCTATACGGAAAGCAGTTCGACAAGAAAGAAACTATTATTAATATTATTATTATTATTATTGTCCTATAACAGAAAGAAGAAAAAGAAGAAAAACAACAGTTTTTGAGCAACTTTTAACAATCACAGTCGCGATTGAACTACTCCCCAATGTCTATGTTTATCAACCACTGTAACATGTCAGTGACGAGGACCTTTTGCTTTTGGCAAATGGATGTAGATTCATGCTTTTGCTAAGGGCATCAGTGTTAATTGAATATACACATTCTTATTTTAGAATACATCTTCAACCCTTTTTTGTTCTCCATGCCAATGACCGTTTCTGTATTTCATATCTGCATTTTTATTTATGGAGAAAGTCTTTGTTAGACGTAGGCCTTCTCCGAATCCTTCTGTTTGCCGTTCCTGGGGAGGAATGAAACATTACCCAACCGCGTTGGCCCAATACGTGTTGATAAGGGCTTACAATGCTTGGTATTCGCTAGCGGTCACCCATCTAGGTAGTGACCAGGCTCAGCATTGCTTAACTTCGGTGGTCGGACGGGAACCGATGTTTCAATGGGATATGGCCGTAGGCTGTATTTTTTTTACTAACACTAAGAAATGGAGCATGATTCTGTTAACCTTTGTTACAATCTAAGTCTTTACTTCTTAGTTCGTATTGAATAAATGGTTCGTAAAAGTTTGTCTTTGTAATTCAAAGACAAGCCATTTAAAATTCTCTTGTTTAAAAAAAAAAATGGATACGGTTCCAGTATATGCAGGAAAAATTATATAATTTATAAGTAAATCCCAAACGCTGCTTTTTGGCTTCCAATCAAAATCATCCAACCATTGGTATGAAGATAAAGAGAGGGAGTCAAAAGTTGCGCACCTTAGACGTTAATAATACGCTTTTTACTGATGTTAGGTTGATATCTTTTTTTCTTCTTTATATATTTTCCTTAATACGAAAATGCATCGAAAGGAATTTTACGTTGGGCTGCTTTTGGGGATAATTTAATGCAGCTATTGTACGGAGCACCCAATGATAATTGAACTTTATATCCGTTATATCGAACAACTTCTATAGAATCGTGCGCCATATTTGTAGCCGTGTGTTAAAAGTAATCAACAATTAGGAAATAACTTTGGGATAAACATAGTATAATTTTACTATTACTGTCTTTTATAATTCAAATGTCTCTTGACGATAAACTACATCCAGCAGCAAGACCTTTTTTCAAGAGGCTTTGAGGAGCTTAAAAAACGATTACATGTGTGTGCATGTGTAGAATGTCTTAGTTATTTCTTCTTTTCATAATTTTCTTATCTCCTTATACTCTCTCTCTCTCTGCTATTATGAAGAGTTATCCTTGTCTGCTCACTACCTTTTGCATTGAACATTGTCGTACGCAACCCATTTTTCATCGTCTGTTATATATTTAAGGAACGATGAGGATATTATATTCGTCCTTCAGAAGTGATCCCCCAAAACAGAAATTCTTTGATTCAATCTAATACAATGTTGGATATGCAAATGACTCTGCTAATTCTACCGGTATCAACATTGGCGGCCATAACCTTAGCAACCTAAGATACGTAGACGACACAGAACTGATAGCAGACATGGAAAAGAACTTACAAAATTTCCTACAAAAGGTAGCTAAAGAGAGCAAGAAGAAAGGACTAAACATAAACTACAAGAAGACAGAATGCATGGTCATCTGCAAAAAGATGAGCCCGAAATGCGATTTGCAGGTCGAGGACACTAAAGTCAAGTAGGTGCGGAAGTTTTAATGCCTAGGAAGTGTCTTGACAGGAAACAATAAGTGCGACACTGAGATCTGTAGACGTATTGAGATGGCCAAGGACGCATTCCAACAGCTGCGAGACAGTAGGATTTTTTTGGTAACAAAGAAAAGAGTGTATGTGACATCTGACCTCCTTTACAGCAGTGAATGTTAGACGGTCTCCTGAAAGATTGAGAAGAGACTCGAGGCGACGGTGATGTGGTTCTACAGAAGGATGCTGAGGATATCATGGACCAAGCGTGTGTTCCACGATGAGGTTTTGGAGACGATGCAAACAAAGAGGAAGCTTATTATTAACACCAGGAAGAGGCAGCTGAATTTTCTGGGACACCTAATGAGAAAGGAGGGTCTGGAAAATCTGATACTCACAGGTCGTATAAAAGGAAAGAAAGCAACGCATGACATATCTGGCGGGCTTAAGGAAGTAAATGACAGAACATGGTCTGAGGGAGGTTGCCGAAAGACGAAACTTATTGCGAGCCACAAGGAATCGGAGAAGTGGAGAGCCATGGTCACCTACGTCCCGAAAAGGACACGGTACATAAGAAGAAAAGTTATCAGCAAGAGCATGTTTGTGACGTGCTAATTGATGATCAGGGTGTGGTAGCTGCAAACAGTTTCAAAAAAGAAGTTTGCATTCGCAATGTTTCAAGTTCTGAAAATGCAGTGAATAAATAAAATTACATCCTGAATATTATAACTCTCTAAAGCGATATATAACAAAAAGGAAAGAATAAGAAAGAATGAACAGTTTAAATAATGTAAAAAGATTTTTTTTCTTTTATTCATAAAAAGAATATCTTTAATCGACAGCGGTATATGAAACCGTATGTTCCTCGTTTCCTTGCTTTTTTGATCACTATCTTCTAGTTTAATCTAAAGAAATGGCAAATCGTTAAAAGATAAGCTCTGTTCTATTCCCCAGTTGGTGTTTGATTATACATGTTAAAATTTCATACTTTCTTTCCCCTCTCTCTGAAGTGCACGCTTTGATCTCCGTCTTTACGCGCATGCGCAGAAAATTGTTAAATACGACTGCGCCATACATTATCGGAATACTTATTTTTCTCAGTAATATACACTCTGTTTCTGTCTCATTATAGTCGTTATATTTGCATACACTACATCGAACGTGGAGTAATGGATAGCGGCTCGGATTGAGGAATAAACCCAGCCGAGTTCGAATTCAGTCGAATCTATTACATTTCTTACGTGCTGATACCCTTGATCTTTAGCAAGAACAGACCGGGTTCTATAGCCTTCGATGGCAACCCGTTTACTGCAGAAAGAAATGGCAACCTACCTGCCTCGTCAGTCATGTATCGAAAGATATATAATCGCCTAAGCGTGTATCACACATGGCACCTAACTGAAAGACATCGAACAACTTCTATAGAACCGTGCGCCATATTTGTGGTCGTATGTTAAAAGTAAGCAATGGTTAGGAAACAACTTTGAGATAAACATAGTATCATTTTACTATTACTGTCTCAAATGGCTCTTGACGATAAACTACATCCGACAGTAAGGCCTCTGATCGCTATTATTCCCTGGTCCAACCTGACCCGGGGTGGTGGCACCTGTTAGGGTCTCGGGAAGTATACGAATTCATATAGTAAAAATACCAGTCATACATTTGAGCCTAGACAAAACCCTCTTTACAAAAATACGTCAAGGAAACCCGATCTACAGACTGATTTCTTACCTAGAATACATATTCTGTTCATACTAACCTATCTTTAAAATCTTGTCGGCATTAAATAACCCATTGAGGTTGACATGCCGTAAAAAATAAACCAAATTCGCTACAAACCCTCTTAAAAAATTCGTCAATGAAGTCTGATCTACAAACTGTTTTCTTGCAAAGAATATATATTCTCTTCATACCAATTTACTCTAAATATCATGTTGGTATTAAATAACCCATTGAGGCTGATGTGCCGTAAAACAAAATCAATAAACTCAAATATCTCTTCAGCGTCAGGTAATGGACAACGAAGTTTCTCTGTTTGACCATTACTAAGGAGAAAGTTTGATCCTCATTTCCCGGTAAAAAATCTCATTAAATTATCCCAATCTCTAACCCAACCTATAATCTCTTTCAATGCATTTTCGTAGTAAGAAATCATTTAGCAATCTTATTTCAGACTAAGAAATCATTTTGAATCTCACCTTATTGCAGTAATGATCAACCAGCCAGTCTAGCAGATCATTTAGATTTATTCTTAAAATCTCCTTCTGCAGCAAAGTGAGATAATAAGCAAGTTATGCTGCTCCAAGGTTTCAAAACGAAGTGAATTTTGACAATTCCGACGTCCAAGATGAACTGATTTACAAAGAGAACGAACACTGTCAGATTATTTGTCGGTAAATGGGCAATTAGTCTGAAATAAACACCAGCTGCTCCAACTGGAGCTTGAAAACGGTTAATCGAATTTCATTCTCCGTTGGTTGCTCTACACCGCTGATGTTATATCACATTAACTCTATGGTAAGAAGGTTACAAGAACGTAAACAACAAACACGTAAAAAACGGGAAAATGCATTTTTAAGAGGAGTTTTCTTATGTTTCTCTTCGGTTTAGTTATGCTTTTTACAAAATAGTTTCTTGGTCAGTTTGAGAACTTTTCAACACTCTTCATATAGCTTTATAATTTCTTACAAATTTAAAATATTTTCATTTTATTTCTGTTTTCTTTTTTCAAGATTCCACAGACAGATATTGGAACTTATAAAACTAAATTCAAAAGGTTTATAAGCCAAATGTTAGGTTTTTAAATTTAGTATTTTCTAACCATGTGATACTCCTTGAATTTTTCTCTCTGTACAATAGAGTTGTGCATTCTTTGCACTATTTTATCGTCATTTTTCACATCTTTTCTCTTTAAGAAGTATGCAGACATAATGCTATATTTGGCTTGCTCATTCAGTTTTATTTTCATGCAAATACTCCAGAAAATGATGTAAAGTCATGAATCCTAATGTTCCCAATTAATCATTTAAAGTCAAATCATGAATGTATAATAAATATATTGCTAGAAATATTCGATATCCTCAATTGATGCTATCCACTAATCCCCAATAAAACATCAATGAATGGTGACTGCTTTTTCAGGGATAAAACTCAAAACTGATTCGTTTTTATGTCATCTTTTACTATCGTTCCGCAATTAAAAAAAAAAAAAAAAAAGTGTGTCCGAAGTACGGTTCTTCCCTTGGCACCGCTATCATTTTTAACTCGTTTCACTCTCTCGGTAAAGTTTGTTGTCTTAAAAAACGATTATTAGAATTTTAATAAAACCCAAACATATGAAAGTGAAATTATACATTTCCTTTGTTCTTCGAGAATTTACAACAAGAATAATTTTATATCTTTAAGGGTAGTTTTTATGTTTGTTTCCACTTTAATTATAACAAAAATTATAAAAGTGATATTTTAACTCCTTATCGTCTTTTTGTTTCTTTAGATTGTAAAATAAAATGAAATAAAACAAATGTTAGATTCAGAATATCATTTAACATTATGAAACACCTTGAAGCATTCACAGTGGAGTTGTGTATTCTTTGCACATTCTTTATTTTTCACATCTTTTCTCTGAGAGAGATGTATACAAACATTACTTTCTGGTGACTCGTCCTCCATTTTTATTTCCAAACAAATATTCCCGGAAATGACGTAACCTCATGAATCTTAATAAATAGTTACTTCCTGAACGCTAGAGTTGCTAGTCAGATCGTCTCGAATCATAAGTGACTGATGCTGTATCGTTCGAAAAATGTT